AACCTTAGTGGAGGATATAAGTTGGAGAGACCCTTGAGGCATCTACGTGTGGGGTAGGATGTGCAAATACTGGAGAACCATCCACTGAGGTGTGGAATGCGGTGATAGCCGCTAGATGTACTTTCAAAGACACTAGAGCTAACCCTGTTTCTCTTCATAGCAGGATGTAATCCAAGATGGCACAAAGGTGCAATATGTGGATCCAGTTTCCTACCGGTGCACCAAGTTATGAATCTGCGCCACTTTTGAAGGTAAGTGGATCGAGTGGATTCTATTACTATGTAATAAAATGTTTCTCACTTTCTCTGAACATTGGAATTTGTGTTCTTGGAAACAATTATAAGCTAGGCTGTCAACCGTAGCGTATGAGGTTGAAGGTGAATTAGCGTTGTGTTGGGTTAGGAGATCAGGATACATGGGGAAAGTGATAAGATGAGTGAGGAAACATCTAATAAAGGTAAGGGAACCATGTTTGCCGTGCCCAGAATGGGGCTATGAGAATCACTGCTGTGCCGTTTCTGTTGATCTTCTCGAGAACCTTGGGGATGAGTGGTGTAGGAGGAAAAACGGATAAGAGGGCCTCTCCTCCTGCAGTGGAAGAGAAAGACATCCCCTAGAGATCCTTGACCTATGCCAGCCCTTGAACAGCATTAGCTGGCATATCACTTTTTTGTATGAGGCGAAAAGGTCTATATGTGGGCGACCCCAACAATCAAAAATCAGCTGGAGGACATGTGGATGGAGCTCCCATTCATGGTCTGCTGAATGAGTCCGCTAACACATTGTTGGCTCCCAATAAGTAGGAAACTTTAAGGGTAACCATGTTGTGGATGCACCAGTTCCACAGTCGAATCGCTTCGGCACATAGAGCGAGAATGGTGGTTTATATAATACATTGTGGCAATGTTGTCGGTAAGTATCCTTACTGTGGTCCTGGATGTGTGGCAGGAAACGTTTGCATGCATTTGCAACTGCCCTGAGTTCCAGTAAGTTGATGTGCAAGGTAGATTCCTTGGTTGTCCATAGGCCTTGAACAGATATGGCTCCCATATGAGTTCCCCATCCCACGAGGGAGGCATTGGTAGTTATCTGTGTGGTAGGTTGGTCTTGATGTAAAAGATAGTTTGGCTCAGTCCACCACTTCAGAGATGTTATGACATAGGCAGATGGGGACACCTGTCTGCGTATGTCCCTTTTCCTGTGAGAGTAAACGGAAGCTAGCCAAAGTTGAAGGCAATGGAAGTGGAGCCTCACATGACCAACCAAGTAAGTTGTAGCTGCCATATGTCCCATGAACTGTGGGGCTGTTTGTGATGGTAAAAACAAGGTCTTGGATAGCTTGGAATCATTGCATTGGTAGGTACGCTCTTGCCACGGTTGAGTCTAGATAGGCTCCAATGAACTCTAAGGTTTTTGTAGGTAGAAGTGTTGACTTCTGTTCATTGATAATGAGGCCTAAGCATTTGAACATGCTTCTGGTTATGGATATCATGTACAGACTATCTGTCTCTGATGGCCCTTTTATTAGATAGTCATCTAAATAGGGATAAATCATAACTTGCTGGTGATGTAAGTATGCCGCTATGACAGCAAGCATCTTGGAAAATACTGTAGGCACCAATGACAGACCGAAGGGTAGGACATGGTACTGATAGTGGTCCAATCCGATCACAAAACATAGAAATCATCTGTGTGCTGAACATATAGTAATATGAAAGTAGGCATCTTGCAGGTAGAGGGCCGCGAACCAGTCCCCTTCCTCCAATGCTGGAATGATGGAAGCTAGGGTCACCATCTTGAAGCATTGCTTTTGTAAGTAACAATTCAGTTTACAAAAGGTCTAGAATAGGTCTCCATACACCCGTCTTTTTTGAAAGAAAATAGTAGGAATAGAATCCCCTGCCCTTGAACTGTTCTAGAACTTTCTCTACTGCTCCAATATCTAAGAGGTGAAGGACCTCCGTTCTGAGCAGGTCCTCATGAGAAGGGTTCCTGAAGAGGGATGGGGATGGTGGGACAGTGGGAGGTAGTGTTAGGAAGGGTATGGTGTAGCCTGATGACACAATCTCTAGGACCCAGCTATCTGATGTGATGGTAGCCCAGCAGTGGTAATATGGTCTCAGGTGATGGTGGAAGACTGGAATAGACTGAGCATGGTGGCTGAACAATGGAAGGTGTTGCAAGCCCTCGACCTGGAAGTCAAACTTGCTGTTTGCCTGTATGCTGACTGGAGTTACAGTTATTTGGTTGAGGTCTCCACTTCTGTGGACACTGTCTTATTCTGGATTGATCAAATCCCCACTGCTACTATCTGGGATATGAAAAGTCTTGGTGCCGTTGGTTTGGTGGGGTGTACATACCCAAGGTACAAAGGGTGGTTCTTGAATCCTTACTGGAGTGCAAGACCTTGTCTTTCTTCCCTGAGAATAATAATTCTTTATCAAAGGTCTTTGACTTTTGTCTGCAGTTCCCGAGGAACTACGGCAGCTTGCCCAGGAAGCTCTTCTCATGACTATGGAAGTTGCCATGGCCCATGCTCCTGTCTCAGCTATGTCCAAGGCTATTTGTACAGAGGTCCTTGATGAATCATACCCCTTTTGTATGATTGCTTTCAATATCGGTCTTTTTGAATCTGGTAAATGTTCTATAAGAGAAGTTAGTTTAGTATAATTGTTAAAATTATGGTTGGAGAGTTACGCGGTACAATTAGCTATTCTGAGGAGCAGGGTTGATGATGAGTATAGCTTATGCCCCAAGATGTCAAAGCGTTTACTCTCCTTATCCTTGGAATTATTTTTATATTGCGGAAGTTTTGATCTCTGCTGAGCTGCATCTACCACTAAAGAATTTGGTTGTGAGTGGGGAAAAAAGAAAGTCTGCGCCTTTGGATGGAATGAAATACTTTTTAACCGCCCATTTGTTAGTTGGGGTAATTGATGCTGGGGTCTGCCAGATCTCATCAGAATCCTCCATAATAGCCTCATCTATATGGAAGATTATTTTTGCATGCTGGCAGGACTGAAGTTTTTAAGAAAATGATGTTGCTTCTCTTGGACCTGAGTGAGCTGTATTTCTTGCCTTACGGCCACCCTCTTAAAAAGCTCCTGGGATTGTCTGAGGTCATGCAGTGGCGATTGGTCCCCAGGGACAACGGCCTCATCCAGAGATGAGGAGGATTGGTCTGTTGGTGAGACATCTGGCTGTTGGTCGTCTGCCTCAGAGATCCAAAAGCTGGTGCACTGGTTGGGGTATGGAAGATGATGCTATAGGTTCAGGACCATGCGGTGGAGGAGAAAGTGAGTATCCTCATGTGGGCGGGTGTTCCTGGCAGCAGGAGTGTGAGTGGCTATAGTGTCGGTATTCCCATCTGTCGGGAGAGTGGTATCGTGGTGAACCGACACTCAACCTGCGTTCAAGATAGTAAGAATGAGCAGAAAGAAGTGGAGAATGGAGTGACCTAAAAGAGTCCTTCGAAGATGGGAGAGGTGATAAGGAGCTATCTCTCTGATATGGTCATCAAAGTGTAGGTGAGGGTGATGGAGCAGGTGAAAAAGTAAGTGGTTCTGGACTCAGATCCCGTGATCTGCGGGATTTATGAGTTGCCTTCCTTGATGCTGAGGCAGCACCATTCTCTTCTAGTGTAAAACATTCCAGCTCATATGTTACTATCAGTGCTGAATGCACTGGTGCCATTGTCTGTATTATAACCGGTGCCAGTGTCTGCACTGTACCGGTACCAATGTTTGCACTGTACTTGGTGCCGGTGTCTGTAGTGTATGGATCAGTGCCGATGGCTGCACTGATTGGCCTGGTGCAGACTAGGTTATTGATGAGGAAGACGGTGCCGTCTCCTGCGGTGCCAAGGTTGGTGGTGCCAATTGTCTTGCCGGTGCCATACCTACCGGTGCTGTAGATCTTGTGTGCCGAGTTTTTGGCTCTGAGGCCATTTTGAGGTGCAGTTTCATGGCACCAGATGTTCCTAGCTTCTCTCTGGTACTGCTTCTACTTGTGGAGGCTGGTGGTAAAGAGCATGCTAGTGAAGCCCTTTTATGAGCAGGAGCAACTGTAGGAGAAGCTCTCCGTTTTTCTCCCCTCGGCAAGTCACAATGTGAGGGCTGCAGGGCCTTATCAAACAAGAACATCCTGAGCCTCATTTCCCTATCAAACTGCACTCTCAGTGTCAGTTTTGTGCAGTGTATGCACTTTTGAGGCACATGAGATTCACCCAGACATTTAATACAGTCTGAGTGACCGTCGGAGGCCGACACAGGTTCTTGGCATGTGATGCACTTTTTAAACCCTGGCGAACTCGGCATGGTTGAGGAGCCGGTTACTGCTGCTTAGATAGTGGACAAGCAGATTGTAGTTTACTTTTCTTTTGATTTATATAGTTCTGTTATATGTTCCTTTATTTTTTTTTTAATGTTTAACACAGAAAAGAAAAAAAATTAACAAAGTAACTATAGCTATACTATGACTTACAACAAGAATCTGACTGAACTATGTACCAAAATTAATGTAAAACAAAATTTTCTACTCTGACTAGAGTTGTTGAGGAGAGAGGTCTTGCTACATCTGTGACCTGGGGCAGCAAAGAAGGAACTGGTGGGAGCCGGACTGCGCGAGAGATCAGAAGGTGTGAACAGCGCAAGGCACATGCCACACATGTGCGGTCTTGCTGACCATTGCTCATGAAAACTCCAATCAGCAGCGCTGAGATGACCCAACACCTACAGTGGAGCACCCACAGGGACACTACTCAAAGAAGAAGTGTACAGTACTCAAAGGTAGTTGATCAAACATGTACAGATTCCTTGCAGGCCTTTTTAATTGCTCCCCAAAAGCAGGACATCTTGAAACAAAGCTAGCATTTTAACTATTTCAGGAAATAATTGGTCACTACTATACTAGATAAAAACAGAAATAGGTTCTTTAGAAATTAGAATAGACATGTAAACAATGGCTTAATTTTAAATGAGTACAACATCACCAATACACACCTCACGAACATCATTCTCTTTCATGATATGTCTTGTAATGTATCGGATAGACTCTATAGCTGCTTCCAAGGTATTCCTAGATGATTCTGATGCACTGATATTTCTAGTTTCTTCTTTCTGAGCAAAGTATCTATCTACATGACTTCTCATGCAAAGTAGCTTTGGAAGTTTATGAAGAAATATCTTGCGGACCCAAGGTGCCATAGCATTGTGAGTAGAAGAGGAACGATGATGAATATTAATAGCAAAAACAGTTATCACAATGGACAAGGTCACAAAAATCATAGTAAATACCAAGTACTCTCCAATAAGCGGTATAACTTTAGAAGATGATGGTATAATTTCTTCAATAACAAGAAGAAAAACAGTCAAAGACACTAGTACTGAAGTGCAGAGAGAAATTTTCTCACCTTCATTTGAAGGGAGATAAAAGACAAGGATAGTTAAAAATGAAAGTCCTATACATGGAATAATGAGAAACAGTGTGTAAAAAAGGGGCAATCGTCTAATTACAAATGAGTATGTAATAAATGGGTACCAGCAACATCCATCAGTTTTGTTTCCTTTGCTTCCTGTTGCAGTTACTATTTCCCATTCTCCATTATCAAAGAAGTCTCTCTTGTCAACATCATAATCTTCTAGAATTATATCAACTTGTGAGCCATCATAAGTCCAGGAACCAAATTTCATGGAGCAGTTTTGGAGGTCAAATGGAAAGAATGTAACATCTATGGTACACAAACTTTTGTAGTTTGCTGGTGGAGTCCAAGCAACAGTTCCATCATACTTTACAACTGCTTTTGTAGATGTTCCTTCAAAACGGCCATCTGTACTGAAACAAAAAATATGCATATTTGGTTATGTGATGATATATGTTACAACCAAATACTTTGTTAACATTTGCTAACATTACCATTCCAAAGTGTCACTTCAGATGCTTATCAGTCTCAGATATTTAGCTTTACAGTGGAAATTTTGTACTTTTATCCTCAGATCTAGACTCTGTTTTTAAATTTAAAGTGCTTGTGGAAAAACAAAACATGTTTTGTGCAACGTTTTGGAACCACTTTAGTGCCTCAACAAGAAAAAGTCAAAACTGACTGTTGATAGAAATTACCCCTGCTTAATGGATGTACATATTGGGCTGTGTCTAAACTACATCCCTCTGTCGTCAGAGGCATGTAGATTAGACACATAGGCAAAGGCAAACGAAGCCGCAATTTAAATGATCGCGGCTTCATTTACATTTACATGGCTGCCGCGCTGAGCTGACAAACAGCTGTTCAGCTGTTTGTCTATGCATAATTAAAGTAAAATTAATTTTCATCAGCCCACCAAGGGTACGTCTAAACTACATGGCTCCGTCGACGGAGCCATGTAAATTTGTTGTTTAGGCAAAGGTAAATGAAGCCGCGATTTAAATGATTGCGGCTTCATTTAAATTTACATGGCTGCCGCGCTGAGCCGACAAACAGCTGATCAGCTGTTTGTCGGCTCAGCGCGGCAGCCATGTAAATTTAAATGAAGCCGCAATCATTTAAATCGCGGCTTCATTTACCTTTGCCTAAACAACAAATTTACATGGCTCCGTCGACGGAGCCATGTAGTTTAGACGTACCCTTGGTGGGCTGATGAAAATTAATTTTACTTTAATTATGCATACAAAAAACCCCAAACAAAACACTTCATGCCTGCAAACTTTATTTTATAAATACAATAATAGATTTTTACTAAGAAGTCTACCAGTGTTTCACAGGCACTGTGTATGCAAAAACTTTCCTTCAAAATTCACTCTCTCCAAGTTCTATTACTTTTCTGCATAGCTGTATAAGAAAGGTATACTTGTATATCGTATGATGGTGTATATTGGCTGCCTCAACCAATATTAGTTTGTATTCAGAATGGTGTCCTTGTTCAGGTAGGACTTTTCAGTATAACTGAATGCATGTTTGTGCAGGACAGCTTACTACTTCTGACCTAGGTTCACTGTAAGCTGCATGCCTGCATGGCCATGCAGCTATTTTCTGAGCCCTGCTCAGAAGTTCAAAACTCCCGTGCAGGCAGGGAGCTCAGCTGACTGGTGGGAAGGTAAAGCATCTCTAAGCAGCAGCTAAACAGAGCTAGCTGCATGCTTGAACTGAAGAGCTCCCAGAGCAAGAATGCACATGAGATAAGGAGAGACTAAATGGCTGTGGGGAGAGAGGGAGTTACTGAGTAATTAATTGGCTGGGGGGGGGGGGGGCAGGGGGGGGGGGAGAGAGTCCTGTGTGCGAGGAGAGAGAGGGGAAGAGTCAGAAACCCAACAATCTCCTCAACCCAACTGGTCTGGGAAGGGAGGTAAGGGGCTTACTGCATGGGGTAGGTGGGGGACAGAGAGGGTCAGTGGGTGGGTGCTGGCATTGGGGTGAGGTAGAGAGGAGGAGTTTGTTAATGCCGTGTCCTGGAGTGAGGTGGGGGAGGTGTGGATACTTTGTTTGTGCTGATCCTGTTCTTACTCCCAACTAGACTGCTGGTGCCTGCTAATCTGAGAAACTGGATTTTATCCCAGCCCCCAGCTGGGCTGGGGGGAGCAGATTGCATGGGGTAGGTGGGAGAAAGGAGTGAGTGGGTGCTGGCATTTGTGCAGTGAGGTGCAGGCAGGGGCAGTTTTTTTGGGATGTCCTCCTTAGTCACTTGCTGCAGTCTTCTCTGGCTGGTTGGGTTGCAGGGGTGGAAGAGTGGAGGGTGCAGGTTGCATGGTATGTGTGTGTGTGGCAGGACATTTGCATGATTACATTTCAAAAAAAGTGTACATATGTGTTAAAGGCTTACGGTAAGAAAAAAACAATTCTTTTATCAGAATTTTGAATGCTGCAGATATCTAAAACTCTGATCTTAATTCATTTTTTAAAAATATCTGTGTTACTAATTAATATATGGTATATTGTATTGCAATAAGGCCAAATCTTTGCTATGTGGTAGAGTTCTGGCTCTTATGAGTCAGAAGTAGCAAGTACTAAGTGTGATGTTAGTTGTTTTATAGGATGAAACCTTATTTGCAAGCTCTTTGAAACATGCATCTGCCTACAAACTCTGCAGCCATGTGTTAATTTGTTCTGGGGCTTCAGCTCTTGGAGTTGAGAGACACACAAAGTGAAAGTTTCAGACCAGGAGAACTTCTATCTATTTTTACAGCATGGATTCTAAACATTCTCCAGAGAAACTATATAAGCTTTAGTGAATGCCTTTTAATCTCCTTTGCAGTGTCAATAAATACTGTCATGTTCTCCTTGCAAATATTATTTCTAGATGACTCAGATTTGTTTAGCATCTTAAAACTGAGCTATGTGTGGATAATATGCATTTTGATGTTTACTAACTTGAGTTAGAAAGGATGAGGATACATATACTCCAAGGAGGTGTGGGTGTGTGTGGATAGATATATATAGATAGGTGATGTCAGCGCATCACTCATGTTGCCCCACCTCCAGCTCTAGGTTGTTCCTCTGGCCCCACACTACCATCGGCTGGATCAAGCCCAGAACACACATCCCTGCCTTTCATGCTGACCAGCCTCTTCCCACCAGAGCCAGTGCATCCTCCTCCCTCCATGCTGCTATCACTGCTGGCCACTCTGGCCTACCCTCTGGCCCCAGCCACTGACCAGCCTCTTCCTCTGCAGCCCTACCAGCCATAGCCCCTCCACATGCTGTACTTGCATTGCTACCAGCAGCCTTTCCCACTGGCTCTGTGCAGCGCTGCCCTTTTGAAATGCCACAGCAGCGTTTCAAAGGAGCAGCGCCGCACAGAGTCTGGGATCAGCTGTGGGGAGCTCATGGCTATTCAAAGGGGCAGTGCCACATGGATCATGTACCCCGCCACTTTGAAGTACCCCCTCTATATGATAGAGGCAGCAAGAAGGGGTGGAATCAACTAGTCGACTAGACTATCCAATAAGCATTTGCTTATTGGATAGTCAAATTAGTCAACTAGTCCTTAACATCCTTATCTCTATACATCATTTTTTTCCCCGTGGGACAAGAGTGATATCATCACGTCACTCTGCATCCCCCCTGCCTCTACCTTCCCTCCCCCCTGCCTCCTCCCTTTCCCCAGTGGTCAGGAGCCAGGACTGTCAGGTCGCAGCCTCGGCCCCACCTCCAGTGGCCGGGGAGAGCATGGGGCTTGGCAAGGCCTCAGCCTGGAACCCCCCTCGGTGGCCGGGGCAGAGCATGGGGCTGGTGTGGCCTCAGCCCTTCTCAGCAGCTGGGAAGTGAGGGGACAGGCCAGGGCTGCTACTCCTTGGCCTGGCCCTCCCTGGCAGCTGGGGGGGAAAGGAAAGGCTTCCTCCCCCCAGACAGAGGGCGGTTGACGAGTGTAGTGAGCAAGGAGTGCAGCCCCCTAGTGTGTGTGTATGTGTGTGTGTACATATATGTACACACACACACACAAAGAATATATATATATATATATGTATAGTGTTTTTTGTTTGCATTGGTGGTGCACATCGACATCAATATTGGGTTACACATAAGAAATTTCAACCTGTCCAAGGATAGAAATTGTTAGAGGGAACACTGCTTCTGACTAGCCAATTGTTTCATATGAGGGAACTTTAAAAAAAAAATCCTAGACAATTCCATAGAAAAAGGTAATGCTAGAAAAACATTAAGGTTGTAAAGCAAAGAGCTCAGAAGTCTAGGGATGACAAAAAATTGGTCCATTTATTTTTAACTCTGACATTTTATGAGTGTATAAGTCTAAATATGTGATCACACACTATTCTGCAGAACCCATGCTTTGTTCTTTTTGTAGAGCAAACAGTTAATGTGGCAGAGATAGATTCATTTAAAAAATCTTACTTGTCATACAACACAATATCTGGAATCCAGATTGACTCTGATGGGACACGAATAGATGTTATTCCAGAATAATCTTCAGGTTGCCACCTTAATTTTACATCTATCCATTCCTATAAATACATGATAAATGTTATAGTATCTGTAAAACTGACTTAAATCATGTAATATATAGACAGACAGCTTTTGGATGAAAACAGAATGGAAGTGCTGTAAAAGAGGAATCAGACTTTTTGCTTCCACATCTTGCATATTAAAATGAACATAGTGACCCAATTAGTCATTATCTACCTGATCCAATTTTTCTTTCAGTTTTAAGAGTCATTTAAATACACAGTACAGCTGTATGGAGTTTTAAAAAACATAAAAACCTCTAACAATGTAAATTAAAGCAGTCACAAAATAAGGAGGGGCTAACTTGAAAAAAAGTTTGTTTTGGATTAGGAGCCAAAATTTTGGAAACGTATCTAAAGATGATCTAAACTTGGGGTCAGAGCAGAAGAGCCCATTGTCGCATTAGACTGCCAGTGATTTCTGGATCCTTTAACACTAGAAATAATGTAACATAAAAAGAGGTTACTCAACTATGCAATAACTGACATTCTTTGAGATGAGTGTCCCTCTGGGTGCTCCACTCAGGTCAAGGTGCATCCTAGCACCTTTGAGCGGAGATTTTCTCTGCAGTACCCCTCTCCCCCTGCCCTAGGCCATGCATGGGCTTTGCCTGCCTGGCAAGCCATCAGAGTATAAATAGCATGCACAGGGTCCAGGCTCCTCAGTTCCTTCTCTACAATGGACGTGTGTCATATGCGAAGTAAAGGGGAAGAGGGAGGGTAGTGGAGCACCCACAAGGACACTCATCTCAAAGAACATCAGTTACTGCATAGGTGAGTAGCCTCCTCTTATTTGAGAGATGTCCCTGTAGGTGCTCCGCTCAGTGACTGTAAGCAGTGTCCCTTAGGATGGTAGGGGCTTTGGATCAGGCTGGACGGCTGTGGACAAAACAGCTCTGCCCATGTTAGTGTCAGCTGCAGTGTCCTGTAACAGAGATTAGTGTTGTGCAAATGTGGGTTATCATGTCCATGTGTCTGCCTTGCATAGCTCGACATGGAGAACATTGCATAGGAAGGCAGTAGCCATGCAGACAGAAGGTATAAAATGTATTCTGATGGAGTCAGGAGGCTGGATTTGTTTGAGCTGGTAGCACAGGAGTATGCAGTCAGATATCCATTTAGAGAGTCTCTGTTTGGAGATGGCATTTCCCTGAGATTGTGGTGCGGTGGAGACAAAGAGCATAGGAGTCCTTCTGAATGGTTTAGTTCTATTTAGATAGATCGTGCCCTATGTATGTCTAGTGTGCATGGCAGACTCAAAACCATTGGTATGTGGTTTCGGGAAGAATGTTGGTAAGTAAATAGGTTCATTTAGATGGAGGGAAGAATTCACTTTGGGCAGAAATTTAGGGTGCGTGCAAAGCATGACTTTATCTTGAAAGAAGGTGGTATATGAAGGGTCTGCCTCCGAGTTCTCCCTCCCTTTTGGCAGAGGTGATTGTGACCAGGAAGGCTGTTTTCATGGAGAGGTGTAAGAGAGAGCATGTGGCCAAAGGCTCAAAGGGTTTGTGCATGAGTGCATTAAGGATCAAGATGTAGATCCCAGGGATGCGTTGGTGGTCTGATATCTGGGTATGCCTGGATGCCCTTCATAAATATTTTAGTGATTGGATGTGCAAATATTGTGTCATTATCTACCTTTGTGTGAAAAGTGGTAATGACAGCGGTATGAACCTTGATAGAGTTAGTAGAGAGGCCTGTGGATTTAAGTTCCAGTAAATAATCAAGGATTGAGTGAAGAGGTGCAGAGGTTGGGGAGGTATGTTTTTGCGTGAACCAAGCAGCATACCTCTTCCAGTTTTGGAGGTAGGCAATGTGTGTGGTTAGTGTCCTGCTGTGCATAAAGATTATGCGTACTGGTTCTGAGCACACTAGCTGTTCATGAGAAAACCATTGAGTAGCCAGGCTCTGTAGTGGAGACAGTTTATGTTGGGGTGAAGAGTCTGGCTATGGCATTGAGATAGGAGATTTGACTGAAGTGGGAGAGGGATGGGGGGATTGGTCAACGTTCCCATCAGAAACGGATATCATGGTTGCCTGGGCTATGCTGGTGCTATAAAGATGACATTTGAATTGTCTGTTCTGATCTTCTGTATTACCCTGTTGAATATGGGTGGGAAGGCATAAAAAAACCCATGATGGTAAATGTGAGCAAAAAGGCATCCCCCCTGGAGTGGGATCCCAGACCTGGTATGGAACAGAACTCTGGGCATTTTTTGTTCTGGGCTGTTGCAAATAGGTCGAATTGGGGAAACCCCCAGCATTGAAAAATGGTGTGTAGGACAGAATTGTCCAACTTTCGCTCATGTTGTATGGGGAAGCAATGATTGAGTTTGCCCACTGTGGTGTTTTGGATACCAGGTAGGCATGCGGCGGATATGGTGGTGATGTGTTTGAGGCACCAATTCCAGAGTTTGATGGCCTCTGTGTAGAGAGAGTGGAAATGAGCTCCACCCTGCCTGTTCACATAGAACATGCATGCTACAATGTCTGTCATGATCCTTATATTGCGGCCTCTGATGATAGAGAGGAAGTGGAGGCAGGTGTAGCTTATAGCTCTGAGCTCAAGGAGGTTGATATGGAAGGTGGTTTTGGAAGTGGACTATAGTCCCTGCATTGTGGTTTCTCCTATGTGTGCTCCCCATCCTGTGAGGGATGCATCTGTTGTGATGGTGATTGTGGGGTGTTCTTGTTGGAATGAAACCCCTTTACATATGTGTAGTGGGATGGCCCCCCACAGTAGTGAGTCTTTGACTGTAGATGGCATTGTGAAGTATTTGAGGAGCTTGTGCCATTTTGGATTGTATATTGAAGCTAGTTAGGATTGAAGGCATCTCACGTGCAGGCAGGCATTGGGGATAAGGTGGAGGCTGCCACTTGTCCCAGTAGTTGGAGGCAGTTGTGAGCTGGGACCTGCGGGCTGATGTGAATGGTGTGTACAAGACTGCAGATTGCTCTGAATCTTTCCTGTTGCAGAGAGGCTCAGCCAGTAGTGGATTCAAGAAAGGTAGCTATGAAGTGGATTTGTTGGGTAGGTGTCAATGTTGACTTGTCTCTGTTTATCTGTAGGCCCAACTTTTGAAAACACTGCATCATCACTGATGCTGTATGAAGAGCGTGAGAATGGGTTGGAGACTTCAGCAGACAACTGTCCAGATATGAGAAGATTATCAGGTCATGCTTTCTTAAATATGCAGTTACCACTGCCAGTAGCTTTGAAAACTCTCGTGGTGCTGTGGAAAGACCAAAGGGAAGGACAGTGTATTGATAAAATGTAAATCTGAGGAAGCATCTATGTGCTGGATGGAGGGCAAGAGCTGAAAACCAATTTCCGAGCACCAGTGCTGGAATTATAGTGGAAAAAGTGACCATCCTGAATTTTTGTTTTTGTATATATTTCTTCAAACCCCAGAGGTCTAAAATGGGTCACCATCCCATTTTTATTTTGTGGAAAGAAATAACATGAATAAAACCCTTTCCCTCTATGTTGAGTAGGCACTGGCTCTATGGCTACGAGGTGGATAAGGTGTTGCGTCTCTGAATGGAGAAATAGCATGTGAGAAGGGTCCCTGAAGAGGGACAGAGGGGGTGGTGCTTGGGAGGTGCAGATGTGAATGGAATGGTATATCCGGATTGAATGATCGCCAGGACCCAAAGGACTGAAGTGATAGCTTCCCAGTTATGGAATGGTTGTAAACAGAAGGTGAAGGATGGGTTGGTCGCTGGAAGTAGATTGTTTTCAATACTCTGGACTGTTGCCTCAGATTTGCTTATTGGAGACTGCAAATTGGATCACCCCAGAAGATGGAGGCAACATCTCTGGGCTCTGGGACTCTGGCATTGTTGGTAATGAGTATCATACTGTTGATGCTGTGCTTGGTGTGAAAAATAGGGGTACTGCTATTGTTGGTATGGCTGATACATGTATTGTTTCTTCTTTAGCATAGGTGTTTGTATGCCCAAGGATCTCAGGGTTGCTCGAGTGTCCTTCATGGAGTGGAAGACCTTACTGGTGTTGGCAGCAAAGAGCTTGTGCCCATCAAATGAAAGATCCTATATTGCAGTGTGGATTTCCCTTGGGAAGGAGGAAGATGAGAGCCAGGATGCGTGATGCATGACGACTGCTGTGGCTATGGACCTGGAGTCCATGTCCGCGATCTCTAGTGTGGCTTAGAGCACTGCGCGGGATATTAACTGGCCTTCAGAGACCAGTGCCTGCAATTGTTGTTTCTTGTCTTGAGGCATGTCATTAATAAAAATGTATATTTTGGAGTAGTTTCTATGATCTTATTTCACTAATAGCACAATGTAATTGGCCACACTTAATTGCAAGGGGGAGGAGAAGTATATATTCCGCACAAATGCCACCATCCTTTTATTATTTTTGTTAGATGAAGTTGTAACCCATGCACCTAATAGGGAGCTATCTTTTAAGAGACCCCTGTGGGGGAGGTAGGAGTGAACTGAGTGTTACTGTTGCTGGGCAGATTTAGCACTCCACACCCAGAAGCTTCTGGAGCTGGGTGTGGTAATTTGGGATCAGACTCCAGGAGCAACCAGGCATGGCAACTGCTTTTCTAAGGGCCTTGTGCCCTGTTAGAGCTAGGAGAAGCTGAGTCAGAAGCAGAAAGCAGCAGGGCCAGCTTTAGGAAGTGTGGGGCCCAATTTGAACAATTTCGATAGGGGCTGGTGTCTGCTGGTGCTCCGCCTCCTCGCACCACAGCTGCACACAGGCAACCCGGCGCTGAGAATCGCCGCAGTTCCCCCTCCCCGGCAGCGCTCTGCTCCTCCGCCGACCGGTGGACTGGATGGGGCTGCGCCGCCCGTAGTGCAGGCTTTGGCCAGTCCGTCACAACCGCCCAACTGGCCAGTCCACCCCTGCACGTGTGTGTGTGTGTGTGTGTGTGTGTGTGTGTGTGGGTGTGTGTGTGTGTGTGTGTGTGTGTGTGGTTTATACTGGTGGTGCACATCCACAGACTACCTCAATACTGGTGTTGCACATAAGAAAATTCAACCTGCCCAAAGATAGAGAATGTTAGAGGGAACACTGCTGATGGACCGCAGGCTGTCCACTGCTAATTTAGAGGCAAAAGACAGTACAGTAGGTTCAGGGCAGTGCAACTCCATGGACAGTGTTAATTATAGCAGCTCTTGCATTCAAAGCAGCACAACCTAGCGACTAGCATCAATAAAATACCGGGACAGTGTGGCCTAATGGCTACAGAAGAGCCCGCAGATGCCCAGAGATGGGAAAAGCCACCAGGAGGTGGCTGGGCCCACTCGATTTTCACTGGATCCCAACCTAGGGTTTTAACAGTGATACAGAGGTCCGTCACTGGGTCAGGAAATTCTACTGAAATATGTTAACTTCACTTGGGTGGGAGCTACCACTCACTTAGCCTCCCTGAGTCACTTCCTACCACACTTCCAGAAATGGGTCTGAGGGGCAGGACTTTCACCACACTGAGTGTGGGGTTAACCCTTTCTTCTCTAGTGCATGGTATGCATGCCCAGTCACATGGACCAGTTTCTGTTGGTGAAAGATACAAACTTTTAAACTACAGACACTTCTTTTTCTAGTCAGAAGGCAAAAAGAATAGCTCTGTGTAGCTCAAAAGTTTATACTTTTCAACCTCAGAAGTTGGTCCAGTAAGAGATATTATATTATCTACATTGTCGCTCTCATATCCTGGCACTAATCTAACTCCAACAATGCAGAAAACAAGTAAGTATACATGGGAGTGATTATGGGAAAGAGGAAAACTGTGAAAGTTCTACAAACATAATTTAGTAAGTCACATTTTCACTGCAGATAGGGGGCCCTACATTTTTCTTAAAGTCAATGAAGGTGCAAAGAAGAGTTAGAGGACTGAAGATGGTAACTGGATGAAAGGAATCCATGCTTTTAAAATATTTTGTACAATTTAAGGGTAACTCAGTGATAAATACATGTAAAGATACTAACTGCCTCAAAGTTTAGTTCTAGGTTCTGATTATAATAACTTGAGGGCACTTCTTGCCTATGAGATAATACCTATACTTAGGATAGAATAAATCGACTAGATGTTTATAGCAAGATCCTCTTCCTTGACTTCCAGTTAAAAGGTGTTAATCAAAATAGGACCAAAAATACCTTTAGAGTATAATTTAAAATAGCTTTTTAAAAGTAATTGTACAAAGCTACACTATTTTGTGCTTGTGACAGTTTTTGGAATTTCAAAATATATGTTTGAATATATACATCTTCATTTAATAAATGTCTTGTGTTATTTTTATTAGAAATTTTCTTTTTGAAATAACTTTTGTATTTTTTAAATCATTTAACTGAATGTTGTGGTTAATTCTTTCAAGCATCGCAATGTACCTTTTGTATTAAACATGCCATATCAAATTACATTAATTAACAGTATAGTTTTCAGGTGAAAATCCTATAAATATATAAACACCTAAAAAGTTTGCTTACAACTTTACATTTTAATCAGTGGACTCTTCAGCTGACATTTGCACATACCTGTTTCAGCCAAACATTGGTTGTCATCAACTGATTTTTCTCGTCCTATAAAAAAAATTAAGCAGCATGTTTTTTTATGGGAACAAGTATTTTATATGTCTTATTCACTATAGCCAATGGTGATTTTGTTGAAAGGAGGTTCATAAGTTGCAATATAAATATATTCATTGAGAAAGACTCCATTTGAAAAGCACATTTGTCTATATTTTCCAGCTGCTATTGACACAGCCACCATCTTAAGACGTTAATGAAAGTGATTTCCCCTCTCCTGCACATCCAACATTGATTTACTTTGTATAATTTACAACATTTCATGTCTAATACTACTGTTTACTTCTAGAGCCATCAAGGAACAAAATGACTAATTGAAAATACTCTTTAAAGCCATTAAGGGAGTAGAAAAAGCCTTCACTGAATTTTTTTCCTTTTAAAATCAGAATACACTTTTTAAAAGATGTTCAATTAGGAAACATTTTAAATAAGTACATTAAAAATATCATTTTTACATCTTTAATGTTCTAAACTATGCCATGCCAGTACATTATCTCCTCTTTTATGGAACTGATATGTTCAAACACACTATCATTATTTCTTCTTTTTTGGGGTACTCTAACTTTCCTATATATTATTTTGTTGATTCTATATACATAGACTGCTACCATTTAAAAACATATTTTGTATTATTCATTGAAATACATTTTTAACTATAGAAAACTCTGTACAGACACTAAAAGCTTTAGTTTAAGTTTACGGAAAACAAAAATAAGTCCAAGGGCCACTTATTTTCATCACCCTGTGGCATCTGAAAACACTGTTTTTCTTCTTTCATCTTCACTTCTCTGAGGCTCTCTCTGGGGCTTCCCTCGTAATTGAAATGTATTTTTTAAAAACAGACAGACAGACACACACACACACACACACACACGAATATCAAGTTATTTTTCATAAACATTTCCATATTCTAAAAGCTTTGCTCAGTTTTTAGCTTTAAAATTATTTACCATACATACCAAATCCACTAACTGGGAGATTGCAAGGCCGAACTTTATTTGTATTGTGTCATTCAAGTGTTGGACTGGGCGAACCCATTTTTGATAGTCCTGAAATAAATGTTTGAACAAACGGTCTTCGCTTTTAGCAATAAAAGTGAGTTCTGATATACCTACAGAATAAAATAAAGATGTTTAATACATACATATAGTGAAACACAATGTACTCATTTTAATGAACATTGGTACAGCTTGATAATTATAGATCTAGGTATGTACATATAAAAAGGTATTTCTCATTTGATCCCCTTTTTTGTCGATGAGGATGGTGGAGGTTAAGTCAGCTAGAGTTAGCTTGATAAAACACACTGATTTTAATACCATTACTCTTGTTAGCACCATCATATTTTCTAAATTTAAGCTCACGAACATGGACTCTTATCTCACTATCTCTGGAGTAACTTTGGAAAAAGTTACATTAAAAAACATTCTTGTGCCATTTTCATGGCTGGAGTGTGGGGGAGGGGCAGAAGGGCCATTTGGCTTGAGCCTCAAATTTAGACACTTGTTAATTTTTCTTGCACAGAAAAAGACTAGAAAAGCATGTTATATTAAAAACAATTGAAATTATTTCTCACTTTTTTGGTTCCTTATTTTGTTTTCATGTGCCATTATTTATTTTTATTAGCACTAGGGGCCTCAAAAGCCCAGAAGTGTCCCCAGGCCTGTCTGGACCTCTGAAAGGACCTGGCCATTTTACAATCATCTAGGTACCAGATAATTGCAAAAATCCTGCAGAGAGAGGTTTTTTTAAACTAGGAAATGACACTAAACTAATTATAGTTGCTTATTCATAATAGAGTGCTCTCACACAACTATTAACAAATTAACAACACCCTCTCCTAAATGGGCATCAAACAACACAAGCTCATCCTCCCAAGATGCAAACATAAAAACTGAATCAGAAAGTAGAAGCAGCATGCTTTACAGGTGGGGTGACTGTCAGGGTTGGGTTGGTTTTGTTTTTGTTTTTTTTTTTTGCGCCTTCTTTCTTCAGTGGAGTAGGGTGGAACGAATTCAGGTAAAAGGAATATTTCTTCAGTGGAGTAAGGTGGAACGAATTCAGGTAAAAGGAATATGTTCATCTAGTGGTTAGAACAGCATCATATATAGCCACATTAGTGAATTTTCCACTGTACTGAATCTCGGGTGTAAATTGTTTCAAATTTGAGCAAAATAAAGACTCCTACGTAATTATGTTCCTAACACCAGGTAAGACAAAATTTTAAAATGTTTCCTGGATTTCTTGGTCATCTAAGTATTCGTGTTCATTAATTAACTTATTTGGGAAGCAGGAGTTGCAGCTGGGCGGGGTAGAACTAACTAGCAATAACTTGTAAACTCAAGAAAGCTTGCAGAAGAAAGAAAATACTGCCTGGCTCTGGCTCCTCCTCATCCCTCCCAACCACAAACCCCTATATAAGCATGGAAGGGCCAGGAAGAAAGTAGAGCAGCAATTCTTCCCTCTCATAATCAGGTCTTCTGGTTTGGTTTCTACTATGTGATTCTGTGCACTGTGTAGGGGAGGGTTAAGGAATCTATATGATATATTTTAGGTTTTTTTGTCTGTCTGCAAATCTGTTTGTTCAAGAACTCTTCCAAAATGGTAAGAACTAGGACCACCACATTTGTAATTTGTAATTTCTTCTTATCTGAACTTAAAGCAAAGTCCCACCAGACCTCTCCCCCCTCCCCAAGCACAGGGCAAGCTCCTCCCTCCTCCCCGCTCCATCCTGGACCAGACCTGGACAACACTAGGTAAGTCTGCTAGAATCAGACTATTATGTGGTTAAGGAAGAGAACATATGCATTGGAAGAAAATGTAAAATGCTCATATACATCAATGGGGTTCTATAGTGATTGAAACTACTCAGGAAAAATACCTAGGTATCACTGGAACTTGCTCAAAATGAGTACAAAACAACAACAATCAACCGAAACCCCAAGTAAGATTATTATTATGCTTTATTCCTTACCCAATACATCTTAAAAATATTATAAAGTTGTCACATAAGTTCATGACTTCTCCTCAAGTGACATTCTGGGTTCTGTAGCGATACTCATCTGAAAAGGATGTTGTAGAAATAAAAAAGGTCCAGAGAAGGGTAACAAAGGGAATTAAAGACATGGAAATATTTCCATATGAGAAGAAATTTAAAAGATTAAGGCTATTTAGTTTAGAAAGGAAGTGAATCTAGCCAGAATACAGAACTAAAGGAAATAGTGAATGTTACAGAGAAACCAGTTGCCTTGTTTCACAATAGAAGGACAAGGGGACAATAAACATTCATACACAAAAAATGAAAAGATAAGTGGGTTTGGCTGCTCAAGAGTCAACTACCTTTGCATACTCTCCTGCAGGCTGTCATACTATTACAGTCAGTAATCTCTTTGAATTTTGTTTCTCTGGTACAATACACAGGCTTTTCCATTGTCTCCATAACGGTAGTTCGAATTAGGATCTTTAATTCAAACTACCTACTCCATGCCGCGTGCATCCGCGGGCACGGAGTTCGGACTAAGGGGGATTTAAAAACGGCGGCGCCCGGGAACATACAAATGAAGCCCGGGATATTTAAACTCCGCTTGCCCTAATTACCACCAAATTTGGTATGCAGTTTCCTCTTACCCTAGCTTAAACCATGGTCAGGGTTTGGTTGTGCCTGCAAAATGGGAAGTGCTGGGAATGGGACTATTTCTCATAACATGGAAAAGGAGGGGGCAAAGAGAGGAGAAATGCAAAAGAGAGGCACAGAGATGGGAGGGATGCAATACTGAGATTGGCCACTGGGGACAGCTGCAACAGCAACAGCAGAGGTGAGCAATAATTTTCACATGGGGGCCAATTCACAAATTTTGGTACATTACTATGTATAGAGTCGGGTCCGGGCCCCCAAAAAGTGGCAGGGTGTTGAGCAGAAGAGGTGGAGCTGAGAGCTCCAGAGAGAGACAGAGTATGTGAATGTGAACGAGAGACACTTTAAATGTGAGAGGCAGACTTTATGACACAAATTGAGTGTGTGCAGCAGTGTGTGTGGCACAGTCTGAGTGTATGTGGCAGTGGCACAGTGTGTGTGTGCTGGCTACGTTTCTGAGAGAAGCCACAGTCTCTTTAAAGGACTCCCCAGCCTTGCTCTGAACTTCTCTGAGTCACTTACCAGCCACACTTCAGACTGGAGCAGCTCTGCTGTGTTTTAGCCCTGGTCTACACTTACAAATTTATTTCAAAATTACTCCCCTTATTTAACACTTACGAATTTATTTCAAAATTACTCCCCTTGTTTTGAAATAATAAGCAGAGCATCCACACAACCAAGACCATTATTGTGAAATAACTGGCTGGTTATTTCTAAATCTGTACTCCTGTTTTCCACAAGGAATAATGCTCATTTCAAAACTGTTATTTTGAAATAGCATTAGTGAGGACACTCAGCTGCTGCTATTTTGAAATATTGGCCTCCAGAGGCCTCTCACAGCTGTACTTGTGGCTGCTCTAGACACACCTGCCAGCTCCATTGCTCCCATTTCTCCTATGGACCTTTTAAAGCAGCAGGCTGCAAGAGAAGGGCTTGTGGCACAAGGACAACCTTGCTAGCCCTGTGCCACACCACAGGAGCCATGGCCAATGGCTGCCAGCACTCCTGCAGCACCCTCAGCTGAAAGTGTCCAGAGACACAAGCGAGTACTGTCCTGAACTGGTGCAGAGTTCCCGGATCTCCTCTCAGTCTGAGGTAAGATCAATCTCCAGGATCTTCACACAAGAAGGCACAATGATGATGTCTACAGCCGGATGGCCACCAGCCTACCCAAGAAGGGTCACACGTGGACCTTCGATCAGTTCTGCATGAAGCTAACGGAGCTCTGGCAGGCCTACAATAAGGCCAGGGAACAGAGCAGATGCTTTAGGGTGGCATCACACACGTGCTGGTACTACGACCAGTTTGATGCCATCCTGGGAGAGGGGCCGGTCACCCTGTCATTGTTGAGTGAGGCCAGGACATGCCCAGCATCAGCCTTCACATGGGTGGGGTTGTGGAGGACAAGGAGAAGGAGACATCCCCTGGGACATCCATGCCCCTGCAGGAAAGTGCCCACTGTATAGTCAACAGATGGCCTTGTTCAAAGCACATCACCATCGTCTGAACACCTTCAGTGTTGGCTCAGAGATTAGGGCTAGGCTTCATGCACACTATCTCCTGGGATGACTGCCCTTATAACTTTTCTTCACAGGTGGGCTAAGCTGTGAGTGTGGTGCATCCACCACCTTCCATGCCATCCTCCTGACTCCATGGGATCCACCAGAAGAAACGCACCTGGGAAGATCTGCTGAGGGAGCAGATGGCCTGCTTCCAGTCCCTCGTCTGAGGGCTTGACAAGAAACAGCAGGAGTGGGCCGCTGACTAGGAGGAACATCAGGCTGACAAGGAGCAGCAGAAGACCGCTTAGGACCAGCTGACAAGCCAGTACAAGGCCATATGCTCCTCCCTCACCTGGGTGATGGAGCACATGGCCCTGTGCATGGAGTGGGCTACCAGTCACCTCCTCACCCCCACTCCTATAGCATCCTTTCCTAGCCCAGTGGCCACCAGGGCCCCCAAACCTAGAGCAGTGGAACCTCCAGGGCAGCCAAAGCCTCCAGAGCTAACCAAAGCAGGTGCCACTCCCAGCTCCATCCCGGAGCCCTCCCCACCATTCCAGATTCTTTACCAAATCCCTCCCCTGTTTTATATCCCCCAAATAAAGAGACTTGTTTGTTTTTTTAAAAAGTCTTTTTTATTTGCTCTGCAGGGAGGGGAGAAAGTGGGAAGGGAGAGGTGGGGGAGGAAAGGTATACAAAGGCAATGCAGAGACTGCTTGTGGATAGGCCTGGGGTAGAGTCTCTCAGCTGGCCTGGGCTGAAACTCTCCTTCAAGGCCTCCTGAATTAGCACTGTCCCTTAATGTGTTCATCGAATTGCACTAGTATCTGGCTGCTTGTAAGCACTGGCCAGCCTTTCAGCCTCTGCCCCCCACCCTGGCAGGAAAGCCTTCCCCTTACTCTCTCAAAGGTTACGGCGGACACAGCAGGCCTCCACCATGAAGGGGATGTTGCACTTGCTGAGATCCAGGCGGGTGAGGAAACTCCTGAACCTCCCCTTCAAAGTGGCCAAATCCACACTCCATGACCATGCAGCACCTGCTGCGGCTGGCACTAAAGTGCTCCTTGGAGAGGTCCAGGCTGCCCAGGTAGAGCTTCATCAGCTAGAGAAGCAAGGGGTAGGCTGCGTTGGCCAGGATATACATGGGCATGTCCACATGCCCGACCCTGATGGTGTGGTCTGGGAATAAAGTGTCAGCATGCATCTTCTAAAAGTGTTGTGTGCCTTCCCCGACCACCCTACTTCGATGTCCGTGAACCAGCCCTTATGGTCAATTTATAGCACCATCAAATAATACCCCTTCCTGTATATTTAGTGTGAGGCACAGTGGCCAGGGGGCCAGGATGGGGATGGGCAAGATGTCTATAGCCTCCTACCTCCGCAGTCAGGGAATTCCATAGCAACAAAGCCATCCATGATGGTGTCGATATTGCCCAGAGTGATGATACTCCTGCACGCTATTTCAATGAATATGCTGCTATGCATGTTTTTGATGGCTTTGGTTACCTGTAGTAGCATGGCCCTGACTGTGGATTTACCATGCCAAACTGGTTCCTGATGGGGCAGTAGCTGTCTGGTGTGATGATCTTCCACAGGGCGATGGTCATATGCTTCTACAGGGGGATGGCAGGTTGCAGTTGCATGTCCTGTTGCCTGAGGGCAGGGATGTTAAGGGTGCCATTTCAGGTGAGAGTCGGGAGGGGCAGCAGCTTTGTGCCTTGGGATGTGCCTGAGGGCAGGGATGATAAGGATGCCATTTCAGGTGCGAGTGGGGAGGGGCAGCAGCTTTGTGCCTTGGGATGTGGTTTGCTTTTCATCCCATTCTGTGAACACTAAGGGAGTGAGGGGAAAGTGCTTGCATTCCATGCATGCCTCTCACACCTAGCTGGTGAGCTCCATTCAGGGAATGGGAAGAAAAGCTAGCTACGTCTTCGAGTGCATGGTGTGCCCGAAACGGTGCCCTTGAGGGGTGAATCATTTGCAGATCTCCAAGAAGAGAAAGTTACTCACCTTGTGCAGTAACGTCTATTCTTCGAGATGTGTGTCCCCGTGGGTGCTCCACTTGAGGTACTGGGCTCGTCTTGGCGCCGCAAACCGGAGGATTTTTGCTAGCAGTCGCCCCACTGGACTGTGCATGTGCAGCTGCTGCCTCACGCCATTCAGCTGAGCGTGGTCTGGTCTTGTCAATTTCCTCCCAACCGGAAGCATCTGAAAAAGAGAAAACAGAAGCTCCGAAGCAGGGAGGAGGGCGGGACATGGAGCACCCACGGGGACACACATCTCGAAGAACAGACGTTACTGCCCAAGGTTACTCTCTCTTATTTGTTGAGTAGTGTCCCCGAGGGTGCTCCACTTGAGGTGAGTACGCAGCAGTGGTCCAATGCTATACGTGTGCTTCGGATTTATTGCCTCGGCGCTGTGGACAAGACAGCCTGGGCCACCGCTGAATCAGTCTTCAGTATGCTCGCCAGGGCATAGTGTCTAGCGAAGGTAAGAGCAGACGACCAGGTTGCTGCACGGCATATATCCTGCAATGGCACACCCCTAAGGAAGGCAGTGGATGTAGCCATGCCTCTGGTAGAGTAGGCATGAGGTCGTAGAGCGTAACATCGTGTGATGCACATGACAATCAAGCTGGAGATGTGTTGCGCGGAGAGCTGCTTGCCTTTGGAACGCTCGGCTGTAGACAGGAACAGACACCGAGACTTCCTAAAGGCACGTGTCCTGTAGAGGTAAAAGGCCAGAGCTCGTCTGCCATCTAGTGTGTGCAGTCGTGACTCTTCCTGCAAGGAGTGAGGTTTGGGGTAGAATGTTGGTAGGCTTATAGGTTCATGTATATGGAAGGCAGAATTCACCCTCGGTAGAAAGGTGGGTGGTACGCGAAGAACCACACTATGGTCAGAGAATAGTGTGTCCGGAGGATCAGCAGAGAGAGCTGCTAATTCACTCGCTCGACGCACCGACGTCATGGCAAGTAGGAATGCCACCTTCATTGTGAGAATCCGTAGGTCGCATGTCGTAAGTGGTTCAAAGGGGGGAGGCAAGTCAGAGTGTCCAAGACTAAAGGGAAGTCCCACAGTTCCGATGGGATCCTGTGAACCCCTTTAGGTTGTCAAGCCCCTTTAAAAACCTTTTGGTGAGAGGAGGTGCGGACACCGAATAACCGTTGATAGAAAGACAGAAGGCCGAAATTGCTACCAAATGCACTCTGAGGGAAGGAATCGCCAACCCCGCTGCCTTTAGGTGCAGAATATAATCTAGGACCTGTTGGATAGGTAAGGAAAGGGGGTCGAGATCTCTTGCTGAATACCAAGACTGAAACTGGTACCATTTCTGAAGGTAAGTCTTGCGAGTAGTGTGCCACCTGCTGTTAATCAGCACGTGCTTCACCTCCTGAGAACAGATCAACTCATGCCCTTGGAGCCAGCTAGGAGCCACGCCGTCAGGTGCATGCCCTCAATGTGTGGATGGATCATTGTACCGCGTTGTTGAGACAGTAAATTGAACAGCCCCGGTAGTCATCGTGGCTGGGCCACCGACATTCTCGATAATTGTGTTAGCCACGTTTGTCGGGACCAGAAGAGAGCTATCGATATTACTGTTGCACCCTCCAATGTTATTTTCTCCAGCACCCTTGGGATGAGTGGGAGAGGAAGAAAGGCGTAGAGCAGTTGGTTGCAACGGCAGTCGAGCAGGAAAGCATCTCCCAAGGAATCTGTACGGACGCCCGCCCATGAGCAATACTGATGGCACTTCCTGTTGCGACGGGTGGCGAAGAGGTCTATATTGGGGAACCCCCAGAGTTGTAAAAGGCTGCAAATGACTTTGCTGTGTAACTCCCATTCGTGTTGGAGAAGGAAGTGCCTGCTGAGGGTATTGGTGATAACATTGTCCTTGCCGGGAAGGTGTGATGCGGTCAAGGTAATACCCTGCCGATTCACCCAGTTCCACAAACGTACAGCTTCTGCACAGAGGGGGCGTGAACATGCACCTCCTTGCCGGTTGATATAATACACAGTGCATACATTGTCGGTGAGAATCTGGATCAAAAGGCCTCGGATGATGTGGAAAAAATGCTTGCAAGCATTGAACACTGCTCGTAACTCGAGGAAGTTTATGTGTTGCAGGGATTCTTGGGGCGTCCAGAGACCCTGAGCTAAATGTTCCTGCAAATGGGCACCCCAGTCAAGCAGGGAAGCGTCCGTTGTGATCTGCAGTGAAGGCTTCTGGCCATGAAAGGGGACCCTTGTTAACATATTCCTGGGGTTGTCCCACCATACCAGCGAGGTTCTGATGTGTTTGGGAATAGAAACTGTCCTGTTTGTGCCATGTGCACTGGGCATGTAAACAGAATAGCCAACGTTGAAGGCTGCGCAGGTGGAGTCTCGCATGCAGTACCACATATGTGGTGGCTGCCTGCATGTAAACAGAGAATAGCCAATGTTGAAGGCTGCGCAGATGGAGTCTCGCATGCAGTACCACATATGTGGTAGCTGCCATATGGCCGAGCATCTGTAGACAGGAAAGTATGCGGGATCTGGGAGAAATTGATACAGTCTGTACCAAATCCCAGATTAGTTGGAACCTCTTCATGGGTAAGTACGCCCTTGCGGTCAGAGAATTGAGTCTTGCACCAACGAACTCTAGTTCGTGACTCGGTGTCAGGGAGAACTTCTCGAAATTGATTATGAGACCGAGAGTCTCGAACTCCATCACGGTAGTGGTAACTGCCCATGTAGCTTCGTCGAGTGTGGGGGCCTTTAATAGGCAAGCGTCCAAATATGGAAAGATCATGATGTTGAGGTGACGAAGGTAAGCCGCCACCACCACCAGGGTCTTGGAAAAAACTCATGGCGCTGCTGAAAGTCTGAAAGGTTAACACTTGGTACTGGTAATAGTCGGCTCCCACTATGAACTGAAGGAAACGCCTGTGGGCTGGATATATTGTTATATGAAAATAGGCATCCTGTAGATCGAGGGACATGAAGCAATCCCCTTTGTCGAGAGCTGGGATGATAGAGGCTAACGTGACCATCTTGAATTTTTGTTTCCGCAGGTGACAGTTGAGCCAAAGTAGGTCCAGGATAGGCCTCCAACCCCCCAATTTCTTCGGGGTGAGGAAGTAATGAGAGTAAAAACCTTTCCCGTGAAATTGAGTTGGCACCCTCTCCACTACACCTATGGTAAGCAGATGAGAGACCTCTTGCTGTAGCAGAGTCTCGTGAGAGGGGTCCCTGAAAAGTGACAGGAAAGGGGGAAAAGGGGGCAGGGATAGAATTGAAAGGGATGACGTATCCTGAAGTAACTATGTTGTGGACCCAACGGTCAGTGGTTATAAGAGACCAATGCTGTTGATAAGGCCTCAATCGATGATGAAATAAACCTTGCATGTTGTCTGGAGCCTCCATCGGAGGGGTGGTACACAGTCCCTCAATCAACCCGACAAACCTGCTGCCGACCCTGCTGGTGAATGGGTGCTTTGTTAGGTTGTTGCCGTCGCTTTTGCGGACGTTGTCTTAGCCTCTGCTGTTCGTATGGTCTAGCACGAGGTGTCTCATAAGAGAAGGATCTCTGTTTGTTATAAGGCATGTATATCTTGTGTCGATAGGGAGGCGTGTACATCCCCAGCATTTGCAACGTGGTGCGCAAGTCTTTGCCCAAGTGGTCTTTGCCTGATCGGTGGATTGAGCGAAGAGTGACTGGCGAACAAAGGGTAAGTCTTCTACCTTGTTTAGTAGATCTTTCAGGGGAGCAGCTTTACGTAACCAGGATGCACGATGCATGACTACAGCAGTAGATGTGGCACGAGCCGCTGTGTTGGCAGTGTCAAGTGTGATCTGCAATGCTGTTCGGGCTGTTGTGTAGCCCTCCTGTATTACCACCTTCAGAATTTGATTCTTCGAGTTCGGTAAATGTTCTAAAAGAGAATCTCATTTTGAATAATTGTCAAAATCGTGATTTGCGAGGGGAGCCACGTAATTGCATACTCTCAGAGCTGGAGTGGCAGAAGAGTACACATTTCTGCCTAAGATGTCTAGACATTTAGCCTCGTCATTTGCAGTATTTTTAGTCTGTGCTTTCTTGGACCTCTGTTGTGCGGTGTCCATGACAAGGGAATTGGGCTGGGAGTGAGTAAACAAGAACTCCATACCCTTCTGGTTTATAAAATATTTCTTATCCAACTGTTTATTGGTTGGTAAGGAAGTAAGTGGAGTCTGCCAGATGTCGTTGGCAATTTCCAAAATGGCGTCAAAGGGAAGCACCAACTTTGATTTCTGGGAAGGTTGCAACTTCTTCAGAAAAGGATGCTGTTTTTGTTGAACATCCGTAGTTTGAATGTCCTGAACCCTCTTAGAGAGCTCCTGAACATCCATAGTTTGAATGTCCGTAGTTTGAATGTCCTGAGCCCTCTTAGAGAGCTCCTGAAATTGCTTATGTTCTTCTGTTGGAGATAATTCCCTGGGGAAGACTGCGTCGTCTGGCGATGAAGATGAGTGGTAGGCAGAGGAATCAGGGCTCTGAGGTTCTCAGCTTGGAGTGTGGTTGTCTTGCTGTTCCTCATGGGTATGGATCGAGGCAGTGTCCTCCGCAGGAGTTGGTGGAGCCACGGAAGTGTGGGATTCTAATGGTGCATAACGTGGAGACACCGGTCTACTGGGGGTTGCGCACTTGGGTACCTCCAGCCAAGTGAGGAATGGCGGTCATCATAGTAATGATCATAATGCCGTCTGTGATGGTATGAACCCGGTGAGCATCTCAGAGAATACCTCTTAGTGTTCCGTACCAACGTGAATATCCTGAGGGTCTTGAAGACCTTGGTGAAATAGATCTCATGGAGCAGCGGGAGGGAGATCGAGAGTAATGCACTCGATAATATCATCATGACGGTGAGTGATGAGGTGACCTGTAGTAATGGTCTCTGGTTGATGTATAACGAGGAGTGCAGTGATGGCTGACAGTGTATGATGAGGTCGGTGACAAGAGTACAGGATTAAAAACAGCACAGTCTGGGATGAGAGATGATGTTGGGACACATCCAGACTTTGTCAGCATGGAGCAGTTGAGAGGGGAAGACGGTGTCATCTGCAATGAGCTGTCTGGTAAAGAAGCAGTCTCCATAGACT